AGGGTCTCGCTCTGTCACCCAGGCTAGAGTGCAGGGGCTCAATCTCGGCTCACGGTAACCTCCACCTCCTGGGTTCAGCCTCCCAAAATAGCTGGGATTACAGGCATGTGCCACCATACCGGGTTAATTTTTATACTTTTAGTAGAGATGGGGTTTTGCCATGTTGGCCAGGCTGGCCTCCCAAAGTGCTGGGATTACAGTTATGAGCCACTGCACCTGACTAAAGAAAGTTTGTTTGTTTGTTTTCTTTTTTTGAGACAGTATTTCACTGTGTTGCCCAGGCTGAAGTGCAGTGGCGCAATCTCAGCTCACTGCAGCTTTGACTTCCCAGGTTCAAGCAATTCTCCCACCTCAGCCTCCTCAGTAGCTGGGACTTTAGGCATGAGCCTGCCTAATTTTTGTATGTTTTGTACAGACGGGGTTTCACTGTGTTGCCCAGGCTGTTCTTGAACTCCTGGGCTCAAGTGATCGGCCCACCTCAGCCTCCCAAGTGCTAGGATTACAGGCTTGAGCCACCATACCCAGTTTGTGCTACACACTTTAAACAACCTGATCTTGTAAGAACTCACTCTCACGAGAACTGCAAGGGGGAAATCCACCCCCTTGATCCAATCACCTCCTACCAGGTACCTCGCCCAACACTGGGAATTACAATTAGACATGAGATTTAGGTGGGGACATAGAGCGAAACCATATCATATGTATGACCTAGTCCAAAAAGATACTTTTAAAACAATGTTCTGAATCTTTTACTAAAGATTCAGAAATACAAAGGTACCAAACCAGAAGAAAGGCTTTTGTTCACCTAGGCATCAAGGCCACAGGTGAGACCTGGAAGCTGCTGGGGAGCGTCTCACACTGTGCCACAGTCTTCTGCAGGGCCAAGTAGCTATTGGAGAAAAAGCTGCTTTGGCTTTTGGTCCAACGGTTAATTTTGCAGGAAAAACAAAAGGGTGCGAAAGTTGTGTTAGATCAGTCATACATGTGATGTTAGGAGAAAGTCAGGCAGCATAGGGATTAATGGTACAGAATCCAAGTCAATCAACCCAGACTTGAATCCTGGCTCCACCACTAGCCACTCTGGGCCCCTGTTCCTTCATCTGCAGATGGGACAAAGGTTAAATGAGCTGGTATATGGAAGCACATAGTCCAATGCTCGGGACACAGGTGTAGCTGCTATTAGAAACAGGTGAATGACACCAAAGTTAAATGGCATCAGATCTTCAGGAAAGAGAATTCCAGAGTCAGCTCTAGGTCATCCTCGTCCAGTTCTCATTCCAGCATGATGAGTAGTCATCATTCAGCACGAAGGCTTCCAGAGACCCTTGACACACATCTGTGTATTCAATATGCTCCCTTCACAAAGGCAAGGAAGTTCCCATCCAAATTGCTAGGTAACACATTTCAGCCCTTAAAGCTTAAGCATTTGATTATTCTGAGCTACTACTTAGCCAGAGAATTCTCAAACTGGCAGAAAAACTTCATGAGGGGAGAGGAGGAGCGAGGAAGAGATTATATTATTTTGGTTGGTTTTTCCTGCCCTCTCTCTGGCTTGTTTCTAGGAGAAAGACAAGTGGACATGTTCCAAGACTCCCAGCAGTGGGAGGGGCATCAGGTTAGTGCACAAATGTCCACTTTAACCATAATGTAGAGGAAATACGGGGAACTTGCATTAAATAAAAGATGCCCACAACACTACCAGAAATACAGTAAGCGGTAAAGGAGTTCTGAGGGCCAGCCTGGCTGACACATCCCAATTTTGCATTTGAGGGGGAATGTACTGTTCTTTGAGGAACAGGAGTGAAACCAGGACGGGACAAGAATATAGCTCTACTTTCCCAGGGTAGCACTGAGGGGAGAGGTAGGCCAATAGTAGGTGTGAGAGATCACAGCTGGAGGAGATTTAGGGGATTAAGGAGGTGTGGTGCTGACATAATTACTCAGGTAGCCTTTAAGAGCTGCTTCAAAGAATGGAGAGCCTCCCTCCCCAGCACCTGTGGGCATTCATAGTCTCTGTCTATTTCTGAGTGGTAGGAAATTTCCATAATTAACAGATGAGAGAGACAGAATACAAAAGAAGGGTGAGGAGCTGTCTCCAGCAGGTGACCCTGCCACAGGGAAGGATGAGGAGTGAATAGACAGAGGCTGGCAGAAGGCACCCCTATCTCCCTCCTGACTCTCCCTACTTAGGAAGCCAGAGGAGACACACAGGAGGAGACCACAGTTCTCACAGTCCCCAAAGGGAAAACAGTTACCCTTCACAGCACTAGGAAGTGACCCGGAGCGCTGAAATCAGCTACCTAAGTAGTGAAACCTAAGTCATGGTTGCTGTTCTGCCCTGAAAAGGGGAGTAGTTACCAGTTGTTCATTGCGACACAGCAGATGCACTCAAACCCCGGTGCCCTGTGCCACGAGGCGCCCACTTCACCTGCAGACCCTCCCTGACCGTCCAGTAGGCGGCTCTGGGGCTTGATGAAGCCCTGCACCCAAAGTCCCTGTCACAGGGATGAGTCACTAACTTGGGTCCGGGAAGCAGAGGGCCGGGTGGGCCAAGGCCAGATGGAGCTTGATTTGCAATTTCATCAGCCTGTTCCGCTCTGAGTGATCTTGGTCTTCTTATCTAATTCACGGGCGCTCCCTGTTCTTAAAGGTGAAATCGCACTGTTTGCTAATTCTTCTAGTCCTCCAGCCAACTGGAGCTCAGAGGGATTGTTCTGACGCTGCAAGAGTGAGGAAAATGAGGTTTCGAAAATGAAAGCTGAATACGGGCTAACCCAGAGGAGTCTGCAGAGTGCAGCCTTGGGAGGCCCCTACCAGAAGGCCTTGGCCTCTGGGTCCCAACCTGGTGCGCCGGCAGAGGTACTGTCCCAGCCCGGGCGCTGGCGGCCCACGCACCGCTCCTACCCCGGGCGGACATTCGAAGGGTCACGGCCGCTGGATATGCTGTCTTTTGCAACCCCGGCCCCAGCAGGCCCTTTAGAGTGAGGGGTCTCCCACAAGAGAGGGCAAGGACCATCCTAAGCCCTCTCGCGGAGGGCGGGAAAAGGGGAAGAGGGCTGGGTCAGTCCTGCCCACTGGAAAGTCTGAAGAGTAAGAGTAGCAAGAAGCCTTGGGGCTGCAGGTGGGACCTCAGGGAGCCATGTCTACGAAGCGGACGCGTGGACACGTCGCTCCTGGAGTTTTGATTCAAAATGCGCCCCAATTTATTCAAAATGCCCCAGTGGCCTCTGCGCACTGACCACGCCAGCTCCCTCCCTCACTGCTGAATGGCCAGGACCTTACTTGACGAATTAGGTAGCGCCGCTCTCACTAGCAGCAAAAGAGCCGTCCACGTCGGTTCCAGAAACCTCGTATCCCCACGCCTGCCCCCCGCTCCCGCCTCACCTGCCAGGCGGCCGAACTCGCGCGCCCGCA